CACACACACACACACACACACATACATACTGATTATCTCTCTCTCTCTCTCTCTCTCACACACACACACACACACACACACACACACACATACACACAAACACACAAACACACACACGCGGCGCGCGTGCGCGCACGCACCTGTTCTTCTGCTCCGTCTGTAGATACTTCTGTACCACTTGCACGGCACTAGACTCAGCTCCAGATTTTTTTCCCGGCTGCAACAAGTCCAGGGCCTCATCTCGGTCACGTGTAACGCTGTCCAGTTTGGCTTCCAGCTCCCGGATCAACTGAAGAACAATCATGTTATCATTCTTTGTGCATTCTTGGCTGTCGGGTTTTATTTGAATTCAGTACGAGTGTTACACCCCCCTCCCCCACCCCCTCAAGAAAAAATAAAAACCACGACACACACTGGAATCAACACACCATGCTGGAGACGCGGAAGTTTGCAACTATAACGCAATCATGGAATGAATCCATCTCTGAAGACTCTATTTTCAGGAATTAAGTTACATTTTGCGAAAACTGACTATAATTGTGAAAATTCACAATATTAATACATCCTCATGTTTTTAAAGGCAATTTACCTGGAGAATGAAGTCTTTCTCAATTGTATCCATGCTATTTTTAGACACAAAAAACTGGTTCATCTTAAAAAATCAGCCAACATAAAATGTGCATAGCCTGACCCAAAATCTGCAAAATCAAGGGTCGCTCCTCCCCTTAAGTAATCAAGTATAAAGCAGTGCATTTAAAATTTGATCTTTGTTCCTTCACTGTCTGATCCTAATAAGACGGGGGCTGAATTACGTCACTTAACCGTTTGAGGACGCACATTCTGCAACAACGCTTGAAATAGCCCTGTTTTTGAGCGCTCGAAAAGAAAAAGAAAAAAAATATTCGATATTTAGGCAGATATTTTAACTCTGTTCCCTTTGTTCAAAACTTTTAAAGGCAGACAACACACACACACACACACACACACACACACACACACACACACACACACACATAATATAATATTATTAAAGACGTCTTGACAAACTGGAAAGCCTCGCGGAGTGGGAAATATTATCGTACTTTGAAGGTTTCCTTTACTCCCTCAACCCATCTTTTCCTTGGCCTTCACTCGCTCTGTCGCTAGGTGTTCTTGTGTTTGTAGGATTTTACAGTAGGTTAATTGGTGAAAATGGTGGTATAGGTTCAACGCCCCTATCAATATTGTTAAGTTATCTAGGAAGCTGGACCTCTGTGTTTAACGTCCATCTCCGAAAGGACCGAGCCAAAGGGTTAATTCTTGTAAAGTGCCTTACCCACGGACTTAACATCGGACCGAGCTGAGGATCGAACCCCCGAACCCGCAGTCTCACATTTACAGGTTCTATGGCATAATCACTAGGCTATCAACGCCACCAGGGCCTGTGTGCACGTCGGTCCGTATAGTGGACTAACCGCTGGAAAAATATGAATGCACGTCAATCTGGTTAGAATGTCCTTTATGGATTTTCGCGTTTAAAGTTATCGCACATGTGGGGGCAAAACGCGTGCAAAAATTGGTGCACTTTTGTTTTTTCCAAGCATGACAGCCGCGTCTTCTTCGAGGAAACAGGATTTTCAGGGACCGTACTAATCCCTTCGACACCTACGACGACAGAGAAGTGCTTCGCAAGTTCCAATTTCGTCGGGAGCTCATCCTGGAACTGACACGTGAGATGTCAGCTGACATTACTCTCGCGAATCGCGGATTCACCATTACTCCCCTGCAGCAAGTGCTCAACATTTTCTCTGCCGCATCTCCTTCTTCATCTCACTGGTTATGGTGGCGCTGTGGCTGCTGAAAAAGGTCACATTTCCATTATCTACTTGCAGCTCATCAAGTAGTATTTGAATTTCCTCTGCTCTGGTGTTCGCTTTTCGAGCCCTTTTCGAGACTTTCTCCGCCATGCTGTACAGTTCAGAAACTCCCACGTGTAGTTGGAAACCGAATGTCCGAAAGCACATAGTGACAGCGGAGCGAGTTTGCGCAGTAATCTATGAATATCTCACCTTGCACTTTGCGTTTAACTATACATTTTAGTTTAACACGATGTGCATACAAAATCCGGTTAGGGTTTATACGTGGTTGGGCCCGTATAGATAACCGCGTTTAAGCTCTAAACGGGTTTAAGCTAACCGGTTCTGACGTGCATACAGGCCCAGGTTGATTGCTTGGCATGCGGACATACATTAACTTTCCACCTACAACGTGGAAGAAGAAAACCAGGAAGAGAATTGAAAGGAATATGCTTCTGTGGGGCAGCGTGGTGAAATCAGGCGCTTGTCAAAATAATAAAATCAAAGAAACCGACACTTTTCAGCCGATTTTGCAATTTTTAAATTACTTCTTAAAGGGGGTGGGTTAGCTCGAACCCAACAGCTTTTATGTCCATTTTTAAAAATACATTTCTGTGAGGACTTTACTTTTTTTTTAAAGTTGATTAAAGGCACAAAAATTGTAAATTTTTAGTTTACTAGACTTAGTATTCTCAAGCAATTGAAGTCACCAAACTTTGCCGGCCAACTCCTTCTGTCGCAAATATCTCGACTTCTATTCGACATATTCAGTTATTTTTAAAATCAAAAGCAAGACAAATAATGAAGCTTTAAAATGATACCAATAATACGACATGCCCAATTTTTGACGAGCGCATGATTCCACAGTGGTGTGACACAATTCTATTTACCTCTTGCACCTGTTTGGTCTTGTGTGACACATCGCTCAGACTGTTCCCGCTGTCCCCGGCCTCTGTGCCCTCCCCCAACAGACCCTTCAGGCGCTGGGCGATCGCCGAGATTTCCGACTCGACATGGCGGAACCTCGATTTTAAAATATTTTTAAAAAGTTATTTACATTTTATCAAATCTAAAAATTGACAAAGTGGGACGATGGCGCTCATATGACCTTAGGCAGTTGCGAGCGCCGTAAAACCCTCTACTATAAAAAAAAAAAGAAGTGGGATGTGATCCCACAACATATGAATGAAATGAATATTGTTAGATAAGAAAGATTAAAACAACACAGTTTTGTCAAATAGACATTTATACAAGTAGCTGTAAAACGATTGCTACAATTCGAAAATATTATTATAGTTCGCACAAGATAGACAGACAGATAGATAGATAGAAAGATAGATAGATAGATAGATAGATAGATAGATAGATAGATAGATAGATAGATAGATAGATAGATAGATAGATAAAT